GCCCCGTCCGGTCCGGTCCAGGTCTGTCTGGTCCGGGGGGAGGGTGCCGCACGCGGCAAAGCGGACCGGACAGGACACTCGTCCGGTCTGTCTGCTTGCAAGTATGCTTTATTTAAATTCTTTTCTTTTTTATGTTTTTTTAAACCTTACATAAAAAAACAAACAAGGTGGAAGAAGAGAAGAAATTCAAAGAAAATTACTAAATTAGGATGCCCCCTGCAAAAGGATGAATGTAATCGTGACACACATTGATCGAGAAATGGTCCAAATTTCCTTCGAAAAAAAAAAAAAAAGAAGTCGCTGATTAGGAAAAAAAAAGAAAGAAAGAAAAAGGAAACACAAAAAACATGACGAAAAAATTGGGGTGCCCTCGGGGGAAGAAAGTAAATTAGACCTGACTGAATGCAACCAGCCCCGCTGCAAGCATAACCTCTTCCACAACAGCGCAGGCAGGAGCAAGAGGCTACCACCGTCACCCGAATAGAACGCCCGCCGCCCGGTGATTAAAGCTGTATCTAGACTGAATGTTGACCCAAATAGAGCAATTATAACGAATGGGCGTTCTCTATTAGGGTGAAGACGGCAGGCCTAAAATTAAAATTTCAGCACTGAAAGTGGTCACCAGAGTAAGGGGCATCTGTCAAATTTGGAACAATAGAGAGAGGATTACCATCGCCTAAAGTTTCAGAACGGGCCTCGTAGCTCAATAGCTACACCACCCACGATCTGAGATTGAAAGCCACTAACATCAGGGATTAGGTCCGACTAGCAAAGAGGATCGGACTCCATACCTGAATCTATATATGTGATTGTGGACAGGTGGCAGAAAATTGCGAAAGCTCCCTTGTATTCAAAGAAAAAGAGTTAAGCCCCTTTAGGGTTTATTACAGCTTGGATCCATTTTGTGTAGTATGCATTCGGTGGATGCGCACAAAGGTGAGTTCGTGGGGGTCGAGTCAATGACTACACCACGTACCTGTATCATCCCCTTTGTCCATCGTTGTTGCTGGCTCTTGTATGCTGCCATGCTCACAGGTAACTCTGAAGGCGAAACCACATTCGGCACGTAAACAGATCTCCAACCCGCGACAAACGCACGGTACGACAAATCTGTGTCTTCTGTGACTGTGTCATGCTGCCACCCCCCAGCCTGCAACAGTCATCGCAAACAATATGGAAAAAAAGTGGAAACAGAAGGAAAGAGGGTGCGCGCATCGTCAGACTACCGTCTTCCCCTAAACAGAACACACGATCATTCATTCTCACTGAAAGTTGATCCAAATACGGCTATAATGGAAAACTAGCTATAATGACCGTACAATGTGCATCTGGACTGAAAGTTGCCCCAAATACGGCGATAACGACCATACAAAGTACATCTAGTAGGCAAAAGACTAGCAAACACACGCATTAGGAAATGACCCTGAGATGAGCGAAACGATTGGCACATGGAAAACCGGACGGAAAGTAGGTTGCATCATCATCCGATACAACATAATCATGCCCCTCCATTCAATACCATGCACTCTCCTCCCCTCCCCCCCAAACAAAACCCCATCCAAGCCCCCCCACCCCCCGCAACCCCTCCTCCCCCTCCCGTTCCTTGCGACTGTCTTCCCGGAGCAGATGCGAAACCACTCAGCTTCAAAAAAAAAAGCATGAAGTTAACCGTGAATGTAACAGACTCAACAGAGTCATGGAGGTCATGTATATTAATTATTACGTCTTGGAATGCCTACTTCCCCCTCCTCCCCCTCCTCCTCTTCCTCACCCTCCTTCTCCTCCTCCTCCTCCGCCTCCTCCTCCTCCACCTCCTTGTCCTCTTCCTAATTTTCTTCTCCTCGAACTCGACCTCGTTGCTCTCCTCCTTGCCCTCCTCACTCAACTTAAAATAGCATGAGGTTAGCCTGAGGTTACCTGTGAATGGAACAAAGAGTCATGGAGCTCATGTATATATTTTTTATTATTATTACGGCTTGGAATGTGACACATGCTCAATCGAGCAACGTTGTTACATCTTCGACGCCACACGGGTCCTACCGGACCCGACTTAGGGCTAGAGGGACACATCAGGGCCTAAAGGCCCGACCTTGGGGTACTACAGGCCATAAAGGCCTCACCTTGGACCAGACCCGACGGGCAGGCCCAAACGACATTACCGTTTGGGCCTGGCGGCGCTCTTGAGGCTGCCGCCCGCTGGTTGGGGCTGAACCGTCCATCTGGACGGTTCAGGGCACGGCCAGGCCTCGCAGCATTGAGGCC